AGGTCAAAAAGGTTGAACATGGTGCTGGGTCTGAGGGCCAGTTTAGAATGAGTCTTCACCACCTCCTGTGATGTCAGATAATCTCGTCATCGGCCACCACCCAGATTGCACGGCTTCTTCTCCCGGAAGGGAGCAACATGACGCCTACCATAACCATGCCACTGGACCCACACCAGGCTGTTTCACCCAGAGGGGGGTGGGTGAGAGCCCTCCCCACCCCAAGGGACCCAGCCCCAACAGCCGAGAACCTCCAGAACCCAACTGCTGTCATGCTCAAGGCCATTCCCCACACACTTGGGTGGAGGCTCAAGCACAAGTGAACCTATTCCTGGAATGCGGCCGCATGACACATCATATGACACTCCCTACCCATTCTCCAAGAGTACCACACCACATTTGATTGGGTGCAAATAGTAGGCAACCAATCATAGAGGAAAAAAAAATATATATGCATGTATACATATTTTCAGATATATATATGAAAGTTCACATCACTCAACCTCTAACAACAGGCCAGTGAAATTCTAAAGAATGTCTTAATGGCTCCTGCCAAAATAGAACAATCTCCACACTGTTTCCTCTATGTATACTTTTTTGTAGCACTTTCAGTGGCTTTTCATAACAGATAATAAAAAATATATTATTTCGGTTGTGCTTTGGGACAGGGATTGGGGCTTGGGATGGAAACATCGCAAATATGGCCATGAGATGGTGTAATGGAGGTGGTATTGGTGTTTGAATATTAAATGTAATCAAATTTTGTGAACTACCTTCAAAAAAAATTCATTCATCATCCTGTTATTCGTCGATTGCCTCGAGCAGGCCCCAGTAACGTCTCTTTCATCCTAGCCCTGAGATTATATTCAAGGCTATTTAGGAGAATGAGACCCATCATTGTTACTGGTATTTGGCATATTTGGTATGCCACGGGGAGTTTTCCAGACTCTGCCCTGTGGGCAGGCTACATTCGATAGCCTGCAAGTTTGTCCAAAGTAGGAATGAGACAATAAGATGTCATAAAAAAGTTCTGAGACCTTATAACTTATAACTTATAACTACCTTATAAAATAAAAAAAAAGTAAAAAAGAATGAGTCTTCACCTGGAATTTGGGATTTGGGAAGTCTTGGAGCCCAGACTTTCATAGCTAACTTGGCCTTGACTCTGGACAAGAGAAGCTGGAGTTGGGATGGAGTCTTGTGTGACTCTTCCACATACCTCGTTGCCTCTGGGCTTTGGGGAGTTCTCTCTTGGATTTACATGGAAAACTGTCTCCAGACACGTGTTCTATCTGACTTACAGGTATTTTCCAATCAATATGGCTTCTGGATGGATTTGACTATAATTCACTTTACTAACCTTCCTCAGCCAACAGACACAGTCAAGTTCCCAAGAACCATGGTTGTTAGAGAAAGAGAGGACTTATGAAGTCATGTGCTGGGTCCCTAATTTCTGCCTGTGACATTGTATCACCTCCAAATTTGCACAGGACACTTCATACAGAGATTTAATCACACAGGCCACACGACACAGAGTGTGCTAGTAATCAGAACTTGTTCCTCCTTGCAATCCTCCAAGTGTATCGGTATGGTGGCCTTGCTCTCTACCTCATCACCAATGACAGTCCTTGTGATGCTGGGTCAGCAAGACAAGAATCCTTTTCCTTATGAGGGAACTTTGTGCCTCGGTTTGGAAGCTCTCCTGCCTGGAATGGGACTCAGATAGGCTCATGGTCCCAAGGGACTCAAAGGACTGTTGAGGAAAGGAGGCCTTGAACCTTCAAGTTAGGAGGACAGTGATAGAGATAAATTCATTTTGTGTCTCAAGGGTGCCAGCCCTCTAAAGGCTGACTTTGTGAGGTGGTAATAGAATAGTCTGGGTCCTGGGGTAAATTCTCTCCTCCTGATATAACCCATTCCACAGGCTGATTCAATCTTTCTGAATTCACGCCCAGTCCACCACCAGGCTCTGCCACTCCCCTTGATTCTCCTGTTCCATTGCAGCAACCCATTCTCACTCCCTGCCTCCCACATTTCACCCTGAATTCAGATACCAGGTTGTGTTTCCCCCCCATGCACACCAAACGGTATGCTTGCCTTGTCCCCTAATTCCACGTGGTCACTGTCTCCCTACCACCTTCTGACTTTCAAGTCTGGGATTAAGAGTTCCAACACTCTGACTCCAAACTTCACTTCTTTTATGGAGGTGGGAGGAGTCATACCCAGCAATGCTCAGGGGTTACTTCTGGTTCTGCACTCAGGAATTACTCCTGTCACTGCTCAGGGAACCATATGGGATAATGGGGATCAAAGCTGGGTTGGCCACGTGCAAGGCAAACGTCCTCCTCGCTATATTATTGCTTGGGCCCATCAACCTTCATTTCTAATTCTCCATGCTCTTTTGTCTTTCTTAAGTCAGAAGACGAAAATGATGGGTGCTTTCCTTTTAGCTATCTGCTCCTCCTGCTCCTGTCCTCTCTGTGCTCTCTTACAGACTGTTCCTCAAGACCTGTTCTGTGGAGACTCACCTTTAGTGAGATGCCTACAAGGGAGCCCTAGTTAGAACCATCTGATTTCCTCTTATATCTAATGTCAGCCTGGCTTACTGATCTGAGTTTCAAGGGTGCAGGATGTCTGGTATATAGTTCATATAATATCAGGAAAATCCTGTGGTCTGGCCCTGGGACATGGTAGGTCAGACTCTGGCTGCCTGTGGCCTGTCACCTATATTGAGGGGCTTGGGAATAGCGCTAATAATACCCACATGGGCTCTGGCAGGAACAACTTCCCCACTACTGGTCTACATGAAGAAATCCTGGACTCATGGAGAAAAGTTTGAAGGTTGTTCTAGGAGATCAAGAGAACCGGTCAAAGACAGATGAAATGAGAAAAGAAATGGGAATGGAGACCCCTAAGAGTCAGGGGGTTGGAGATCCCTGGTGTGAATTCACAAAGTAGAACGAGGGAGGTGGGGGGTTGCGGGTGGGGGTAGGGCTGCTCCTGCAAGTGTGTGTGTTAGGGGGCCCAGAGCAGCCTTCCCACCCCACCCCTCTGCCCCTGCTTTGCGCACAGCCTGATGGTGAAAATGGCCTATTTAATGCAAAGCTGCTAGGATACTTATAGAACATCTGAAGGGGGCTTGAGGTAAGGACATAGGTGTGATTGATCATAGATAAACATTTGGCAGAGGAAATCAACTCAAGAAGACATTGTCTCCCAGGAACATCTACATTGCTTTTATCTTTCCCTCTAGTTGTAAAAGTTATCAATACTTGCAGTTGTTTGGATAAACACAGTAAGAGACAAAGATTCCAACCCTTAGTTCTCTGAGCTGAGAGCAGGCAAGGTCTTTACCGTAAATCCCAGACTAAGTCCTTAGGACAGTTCGTCTTGTCCTTCCCCATGGGGGTCCTGTTTCTTAAGTTGTAACAGCTTGCATCAAGACCATGCATTTATGCTTTCTAGAATGTCCCATTTCGACGCTGGGTAGCTTTGCCACTCGCCCCGGGTCCATTCCAGTCCCAAAGCAGGACCTCCCTTTTGAGGTGTTAGGAACTACAGCAACTGAAGCCTGAGTCAAGTAATTATGACCAAGTAATTATGCCCAGGAGCAGATATATTTCAGAGTCAATCAACTCCCAAATATTAGGAGCATAGCATTAATGGTCTTTTTGTGTTTAACCAATGAACATTGTTGTATAGTAAAATATAAAAGACAATAGGGGAAATAGAAAAACAGGTACAAATATACAGCATTCAAATACAAAGCAGTACAAATACAAAGTTCAGAATTGCCAGAAAGTTTTGGCTTATAAGTAATCAAGACTGACTTGGGGAACTGTGACAATGAGAGGTAAAATACAAGGAGAAGGTTAAAGATAAACTTTAACTAAATTAGGGACGCTAGCAAGAGCATGTTAAGCTTCTCTGGGAGGAAGAAAGGCACAATTCAATGGTGAAACCTAAAACACTTAGGGTAGATATCCAACATCTGGTCTGGTCCTGCCAGATTCTCCCTAAACTTTGATTGAGTTCTAAAATAAAGGTTTTGTTTGTTTTGGGGAGTCCCATTCAGTGGTCCTTAGGGACTACTGCTGGTTCTGTTCTCACTGATCACTCCCGCGGGGCTCAGGGTGCCAGGAATACATAGTTCCAGGAAACAAAACCCACGTCAGAGTATGCACAAGGATATAAATATACCTGTGGTACTATCTCTCTGGCCTTGAAAGATTTCTTGGAGGGGAATGTCCAGATCCTAAGTTGCCACCCATTGTTCCCATTTCTCTATTCTGAGTGTTACTTCATGAGAAATAAGACTAAGTAGTTTAGAAGTATATATATGTATGTATTTCATTAAAAAACACATGGTCATTCAATAACATTATCACAAAAATAACATTAACTGCAACGCCAAAGCTCCAGGGATCCACTGGAACACCGATCTCCTAAGAACAAGAAGTATTTCATGCTGAGACACCACTGGTCACACAGCAGGGCAGGCAGGTGGTAGGAAGAGTTTGACATCTCAGCACAACATAACTGCTCACAGGAAAGGAACAACACTGGTTTCTGGTATTTACATTCACAAGAGAGAACTGGCAGATGAAGTCCACTCATCAATAACTTAAATAAATATGGTTTGAGAAAATTGCACTTTAAATTATTAAATTTTGGGGGGGGAGACTATAATAAAATAAAATAAAATAAAATTACTTTGCATGAGAAGAAGATAGGGGAAAATAAATAGCATCTTCCTTGGCGCACTGTCACACTGTCACCCTGGCTGGAGCAATAGCACAGCGGGTAGGGCGTTTGCCTTACAAGCGGCCAATATGGCAGACCCGAGTTCGATTCCTCCGCCCCTCTCAGAGAGCCCGGCAAGCTACCGAGAGTATTCGATATGCCAAACACAGTAACAACAAAGTCTCCAATGGAGACGTTACTGGGCCCGCTCGAGCAAATCGATGATCAATGGGAGGGCCTTACTTCCTTGGCGCGATCTCTCAGTCCAGGCGTGGAGACTTTTGGCTTCGGATTTTTGGCTTTTTGGATTTTTGATTCAGGCGCTTCATAACAGCCTGGACCCACTTCTTCTTGGGGTCTGCACAGATTTCCTTGCCCAGCTTGGTCTTGAAGCTGTGAGAGGGAAGGGCACAGTCATACAGAGCGTTATAAGGATGTTGCCCAAGGGCATGGTCTACTGGTCCCTAAGTTCCATCTGCTCTTGGTCCCTGCATGTGAGCCAGGAGCTTGGATCCAGACAGTAGAAAGATGGGAGGATAAAGGAAGATGCCTTAAAAAGGAAGCTTCTAGGATCCAGGCTGAAGGACTTGGATGATTGGACCAAGCTCTTAGAAGGGGAACTAGTAGAAGTATGGATTCCCTCTCATCAGTTGAGTTTCTCTTATGGACAAAGGGGCCTTTGGATGAGAAGGTATATTGCTTTATTCATTTGCACCTATCCCTGACTTCTTTCCCTTGCCTAGAAGTTTTGGCTGCGAGTGTTGGGGCACAGTCTACGTACATTACAGCCTCCTGAGGACAATGACCATTGTTGACCATTGTATAGTTCTGCAGCTTCTTCGTGGGAATCTTCTTTTGTACCATATCAAAGCAGCAGGTGACAGGGATGGAGACTGAAACTGAGAACACTTCACAATGAATAAGGCGTTAGGATGTGTTCAGGGCAAGCATTTGGAAGGGAAAGGAAAAGAAAGCAAAAACAAACAAATGAAAACACTCCCTTAATATGACTATCACTAATCAGTTCATATCAAGCAGATAAAATATTTGTCACTGAGGCTCAAGAGGTAGTATAGCAGACAGGGCGCTTGCCTTCCATGTGGCCAACCTGGGTTTGATCCTGGCACCCGATGTGGTCCCCTGAACCTGCCAGGAGTGATCACTGAATGCAGAGCCAGGAGTAAGCCCTGAACACTGCTGGATATGACTTAAAAACTAAAAAAAAATCCACAAGTTAATTTACTCTGCTGAAGTTGGGGCTCCTCACTATTTACTGTGAATGGAGAAATCTTGAGGCACAAAACTAATCCTTATGCTGTCATTAGGAGATTCTATGGATCATAAATTTCTCACACTGGGAAGGGAAGTTTGAAGACTGTTCCAAAGCCATTTGTTCCCATGGGTTCTTAGCCAACCCAAGTCACATGCTAAATTACTTCTGGATCTGAATCTGGACCCAGATATTGTTCTGGAAGCAACACTAGACTCTCATCCAAAAATTGAAATCTCAATCACTAGTTTGCTCCTCCAATTCTTGCTCACCATATAAACCAGACCCATGGCAAGAAAGTTCTTCCTTACAGGTCAGCAACCCCAGCAATGTGAGGGTGGTGGGTGGTGGCATTGCTGGTTGTGTGCAGTGTCTCCTGCTAACAGGTGCCAGATGAGATCCTGGGTACCTGCTTCACAGGCCTGAGCATCTGGTCTGGCTTTCCTCTGGCAGTGATGTGAACTCTCTTTTCCCTTTGTTTCCCTCATTTCTCTGCCTTTGTCTATGAAGCATGTGTGGGATGGCTCATCTAGGGATATCAGCGCTTGCATTGACCCTTAGGAAGAGAGACAGGGCTTACCTGGCTGAGCGGGCAGCTGAGTGCTGAGGATGGCAGCTATGAGCAACAGGCCCAGACAGGCATCAGAGACCTTCATGGTGGATGGGAGGGCTCGTGCTTCAGTAAGAGAGCTGGAGGTTCTGAGTTTGCCTCTGCCTCTTTGCAAGTCTGAGTTCTGCTTAGGTTCTGCCTGTTTTTATAGGATCAGAGCACAACCGGAGGGTCGTGGTCAAGGAAGATGAAATAAGAGCCTGAATGTGCTGAGTAGGTATATCAGATCTGGAGGGTGATTTCCAAATATGGAGAGAAGGAAGCAATAGAGTTTCTGTGGCTCAAATTCTCCATGCAGCAGGGGTGGAAGGACATGCTCAGCGCAGTGTGGGAAGAGACCTCATGGGAAAATGAAACGGTTTGATATTTTTGAAATGTAAAATGATATGTCCGAAAGGGGGAAATGGAAGATGAGGCGATGATAGAAAGGAGAAGAAAATCAAGGACCTGATCTTTCCCCAGAGCTCAGGAGGCCTGGAATAGAATCCTAGGCTCTGCTCTGTACTTATCAGGCTGGGGTCTCTGCCATCTGACACCAGCCAGGCTCCTTCTGGAACCCCCACCCCAGGATGCCTTGGAACAATGGTAGAGTCCAGGAATCTGCGACTTGTCAGCCTTGATTTCTTGGTGTTCAGTGAAGCATAAGAACTGACAACACACATCGACTTTTTCCATCTTCTGTTGTGTTATAGAAGCTTTCTTGATTCATCTTGGCACTTCTTAATCTTTTCTCTCAGAGATTCTAATGACTTTAGTGTATCACCTACCATAATCATCATTTCTGCATGTAGTTTTTTCATTTCGCTCTCATAGTTTCTTGTGATTTGCTGACCATCAATTTGGGTCAGGGGTGGGATGGTCATTAAAACATCCTTGCCATGGTGTCACTAAGGTCATTTCCTGAGTATTTACAGAACTGGTTGGTATTATTTGTGCTTTGCAAGTTATTGTTTTTGCTTATTGAACTTGGTGGACTTCTATGTGCTTTTCCCATTGTCGTCCCAGTATTGCTGTGTTGAGAAGTGAGTCTTGTAGTTAGACCCCCTGGAAGAGTTTGGGGGATTAGGCTGGGGATTGCTGTAATCTTTTTCTGCCCAGCTTCACCCAATGACAGGAAGTATAACTGTGAGCAATGTGAGATTTATTGAGTAGAGCTGTGGCATGGTCTCGTTAATATGGTGTAGGTGGTGTAGGTTGTTAGCTAGCTGGAAGGGAGGATTCTACCTTCTCCTCAAATCAGGCTCATGTTGTTAGTCAGAGATTGATCTCATCTAGAAGGATGGGGCATAGTCTAGAGCTGTAACATAGGCATGTTCTGAAATCCTCTATAATCTTTCATCAAGTTTAGACATCTTCCTCCTGAAGATAAGTCCGTTTTAACTAATTGGTGCTTAAGTACTTTAGATGTTCATGTAAATGATACATTATTAATTTCAAAATTTCCTTTCTGGTATAGAGTAAATTGAACTTTAAATATTCATCTTGCCTCCTGAAACTTTGCTGTACTTGATCATTAGTTGCAGGTTTGTTATTGCTGAACTTTTGGTGTTTGTTTGTTTTACGGCCACATCCAGTTTTGCTTAGGGCTTACTCCTGGATCTGTGCTCAGAGAACACTCCTAGATGAGCTTGGGGAACCTTATATGGTGCCAGGAATTGAACCAGGGTTGACCATGTATAAGGCTGTCACCTTACTGCTGACTATTTCTCTAGCCCTTTTATTAGAGGAATTTTTATTCGTTTATTTTCATTTGTTTGTTTGATCAATTCTTTGTGATTTTGGGCATAGACAAAGAAGTCTTCCATGAACAAGGATAGTAATGCTTCTTTCTCCTAAGTCTATGTCTCTGTTTAGTTCTTTATTTTGTATTCCTGCACTATCTAACTCCTCCAACATAGTGTTGAAGAGGGATGGTGAGAAGAGACTTCTTTAATTCACTCCTAACCTTAAGAGATCAGTATCTTTTCTCATAATTACGATAGCACAGCGGTAGGGCGTTTGCCTTGCTTGCAGCCAACATGGCCGACCTGAGTTCGATTCCTCCGCCCCTCTCGGAGAGCCCGGCAAGCTACCGAGAGTATCTCGCCCGCACGGCAGAGCCTGGCAAGCTCCCCATGATGTATTCGATATGCCAAACACAGTAACAACAAAGTCTCCAATGGAGACGTTACTGGGCCCGCTCGAGCAAGCCTGGCATGAGCTATAGATCTTTGTGGATGTTCTTTATTAAGAAAGAACTCTAGTTCTACTTTTATTATGAACAATTGTTAAGTTTTTAAAACTTTTTATTAATATGGCCATAATATTTACCCCATCTAGTAAGTTGATATGGTATCTTTTATAAATTGATTGAGGATGTTCTCAAGCATTGCTCAGGAGATTTGGGCCTCCCTACTGGCAATTCTTGACCAACTGAGCCATGGGTCCAATACAAGAAACTAAGTATGTGATGTTCCTTAGGAGCTATAGTGCCAGGGATATTGAAGTTAATTACAGCAATACTGGGGACCTTCAGGCCACACCTGGCAATGCCTGGTACTATGTGGGCCTAGAAACAAATCCAGGTCCAGTGCATGGCAGACATCTGCATTAACCATTGTACTGGCTTCAAATCCCATGAATTAATTGTTTTTTGAACATTAAAAGATCTTGCATACCTGGGATGGCTCTCATTAGCTGTCGTTGTCCAATTATTTTTTAAATAATCTTTGATTTATCATTGTTTAACACTATGGATGGCTTTACACTTCAAATCTGTCTTTGAAACTCACAGCGCAATATACACTTTTTATATATTATGTCTACTTGCTATTTTTTGAGAGTTTCTACATCTTTCTTGGTAAATTTTATCTGTAGTTTTCTAAGAGTTTCTTGTTTTCTTTTGTGTTGTTGTTATCAGGTTTTTATATCAGGGTCATGATGTTCTTACAGCATGAATTGAGATGAATTAGAAAGGGTTATCTCTACTTCTGTCTTTTGGGACAAATTGTAGACAGTTGCCCCTTTAAGTGTTTGGTACAATTCCCAAGTGAAGCTATCCAAGTTCAGTGCCTTCTGTTTGGGAAAATTGTTAATTGCTCAATTTATTTAGTGGATAAATTCATATTCATGCCATCTACTTCTCACTTGAGTTTTGGAAGATTATTCCCCTCACCCCCAGCTTATAGGTTTTCCTTGCTGGAATCTTAGTTATTTTATTGTTTAATTTAAATTTCAAAGAAATAGCTTTTGGCTTCACCTATTTTTTTCTCTTGTCTTCCTATTTCTCAATATCATTGATTTTTACTTTAATTTTTATTATTTCTCTTCTTCTGCTTGCATTAGGTTTATATTTAACTCCTAGATTCTTTTTAATCCTTTTTTTTCTATTGAGACATCATGACTTACAAAATTATTCATAGTTGAGTGTCAGGTATAATTTTACAACACCAATCTTATCACCAGTGTCAACTTCCTTTCACCCATGCCCCCCTTTCCTCTCCCACTGTCCAGCGTGTCCCCTTGACTCTTTTGGGTCACACCCAGCTCAGTCTTCACTCCTGGCTCTGTTCTCAGGAATTACTCCTGGCAGTACTCAGGGACCACGTGGGACACCAGAAAGCATCTCAGGTTAGCTGCGTACAAGGCAAGTGCCACACTGTTTTGTCTTTCCAGCACCAACAGGCACATTTTTAAGTTTGGTTGTTGTAGCTTGAATCTTATGCTTTCAGTTCTGTTGGTTGTAGGATTCATGTATATATGGTTATATAACAAGCTCTATGCCACTAGTGTGTCTAGGATCCCTCCCCAAGGCCCCTGGTATCCTCCATCTGCTCTTCTTTCCTTTACCATCCTTAGCTCTATAATCCAGGTTCTAGGGTAATCTAGATTACCTCCCTGTGATGCCTTGCTTGTCCTTGTCCTGTTATCTGCCTATCACAGGCATATGAGTTTATCTGGTATCTTTCTTCTCACTTAATTCAATCAACTTGATATCCTCCAATCCACCCAAGCTGTGGTGAAGTGCATTATTTCATCCCCCACCCCTCCTTGCCACCCCCTTGCAGCTTTATAGTATTTTGTTGTGTATTTCATACCACAGTATTAATACCATGTATTTCATACCATAATATTCCACACCATATTTCATTCATAATTAATTATCCACTTAATTATCTGCTGTTGGACACCTGAGTTGATTCCATGTCCTAGTTGTTGTTCTAGTTAATTAAGGTGAGGGCTGAGATTATCCATTTTAGATCTTTCTTTTCTTAAAGAAAAGAATATTCACTATAGTTTACTTAAGCAATAAGTAAACTATAGTGAATATTCCTCTAAGTACTGATTTTTCTGCAGCCCTACATTTTATACATTATACTTCTACTTTTCATTAAGTTCAACATATTTTTAAATTTACTTGAGACACTTTCTCTGACCCGGGTTCAATTTCTCCATCCCTCTCGGAGAGCCCGGCAAACTACCGAGAGTATCTTGCCCACATGGCAAAGCCTGGTAAGTTACCCGTGACGTATTCGATATGCCAAACACAGTAACAACAATTCTCAAAATGGAGACGTTATTGGGCCCGCTTGAGCAAATTGATGAATGAGAGGACAGTGACAGTGAGAGCGAAGTATTAAATCTAAAAATATTTAGGAATTCTTTCAGGAATATTCCTGTTGTTGATTTCTAGTTTAATTCTTCTGTGGTTTGAAAGAAGACTGTACAATTCTATTCTTTTAAATATTTTCAGCTATTTCCTAATGTAGTATCTGTCTAACCATGGTTAAAGTTCTGCATAATCTTGAGAATAAAGTGGGATGTGTGTGTGTGTGTGTGTGTGTGTGTGTGTGTGTGTGTGTAGTGGAGGTTAAAATCGGAGGCACAGAGTACCTTTGGGAATGAGAAAAAAGAGGTGAAGATTTTAATTAGTATATGAATCTCTCAAAGTCCTTTGAGAAGTATGTCTAAAGATTGAAATTGCTTGGAACGAAAGAGATAGTACAATTGGTAAGGCACTTACCCACTCTCCAGCTGCCCCTCCCCACCCCCTTGCACCCTTTATGGTCCTCTGAGCTCTGCTAGAAATGATCTCTGAGTTCAGAGCCAAGAGTGAGCTCTGAGTACCACTGGGTATGACCCCAAACCCTTCTCCCCCCCAAAATAAAATTTCTTGTTAATTACTTTAGGTTATTGGATTGTATTTCTTATGAGAGTGAATCTCATAGGACACTGGCGTATTAGATTTTATTTTTATCTATAAAGTCATAGGCATGCCTCATTGAAAGGGCACTTTAGACACACCCCAATCCAGACACTATTACACAAACCTGTTTCACCTGTCAGTTACTCTATATTTTGGTTTGGTTTAGTCACGTAGCCTTTCGTGTAGGTGTTAATTAGTGGTGGGTGTTCAATTTGTATTTATAATGTTTGTCTTTATAATGACTTTCTTGTTGGTTTTATGAAGTACTGTTAAGGGTGTGTTGGAATCTTCAATTCTCAGAGTAACATTGGTGGCAACAGACCCTGAGAGCTGGCCTGTGGGTACCTAGAGACATTGGTGGAAGGACACTGACTCTCCAGTGGTGGGTGTGGTGTTGGAACACTGAATGTCTGAAACATTACTAGTAACAAGTATTTATTTTATAACGGTGCCTAAATATAGAAGAAAATTTTACAATATCTCGAATAGTAACAAAATAGTGATATTTTCAAGTTTTGAAAAATTCTTAACCATTGCCGCTTTAGCTATATTCCCTTTATTTTTTGGTGTTCCTATTAAACAGATATAATATAATTTTTCAAAAATATTGTCACACAGATTTGAATATTCTGTTCCATTTTTTCCCTCAGTTTTTGTTAAGCATCTCAGGTTGGGAAGTTTCTAAAGGCATAACTTTTCAGTTTATTGATTCTTTCCCTGATGGTGTCCATTTTTCTGGCAACCCCATCAAAGGCATTGATTATACCTGTTACAGTGTTCTTTTTTTTATCTCTAGCAATTCACTTGATTCATTATTAGAATTTTTGTCTCTCTGCTTACATTATACATTTTGTTCTTGCATGTTGTCCAGATTTTCCATTAGCGCTTGTAGAAAGTTAATCATAGTTATGATAAATTCTTAGTATGATGAAATCAAAATGTCCGAATGAATCCAAATGTTACAGCTTCATCTGATCTTGTTCCTTGCTTTTACCCTCTAAAATGTCTTTCTTTTCTTTCTTTTTTTTTCTTTCTTATCTTTTAGCCTGCTTTGCATTGCAAGTTTTTATTGAAAGCCAGAACATGATCTATTGGACAATAGGAATTAGGATAAGTATTTTTCTTAGTGTGAGGGTTTATGTTTAAGAGTTGACTGTGTTTACTATTTGCTATAACTCTCGGCATTGGTTTCCTATAGATTATGTTATCTTGCTTTTATATTCCTTGTGGTCTTTGGTTTTCCCTAGAAACAACTTAAAGAAAACCTGGATTTACAGTTTTTTCAGCTGTCATTAACAGAAGTCTGTTCATGTGGTGATAAGGTCTGGGGATATGTATTTATTCTATAATTTTATGATTAGTTTTGGTCTTTATATATCCTATGCTCCGGGGCTGAGATCTTCCTTCACAAATATATTTCACACCACTCTCCCCCCGCTCCTGTTTTCACTGCCAGTAATGCTAGAGAAGGTAGAATTGGTTGTCTTACCTTACCCTATGTTAGTTAGATGCTGGTAAGCATTTTCAGATAAACACTGAAAATATAATTCTCAGGATAGCTACTTTTCCTCTGTAAGTATTTCAGTCTGGTCATTCCCCTCCCCCATGATGGAAGCTAGAAGCAGTAATACATTTTCCTGGGAGGAACCTGTTAGAGATCTTGGAGGTAAAACTCATGAAAATGTAATGTTCCTCTAAGACTGGGCTCCCAGCGGGGGCTTAACTCTCCAGTTCATGCTTATCTTCTTTCATTTTACCAATTATAAGCTGAGAGAGTTAGGTTTATGTTTTCTTGACAGTTTCTGGTTCTAGCAATTTCTGCTTTTGGTACACTGTGGTTTGTGGTATTCATTTCTCTCTCGAGTCTGTGGAGAAACAGATAGCCCTGCGACCCTCAAATTTCTGAAGACTCTAAGAAGAGTTGCTGATTTTCAGCTTTTTTTTTAAATTCTATTTTTAGGGATGGTGATGGCTTTCAAGCATTTTTTGCATGTCAGAGAAGAAACTGAAATTCAACAATGCTCATTTGCCATCCATCCATATCTCCTTGGTGATGAGACTATTTCGTTCTTTATTTCTTTTTTCAGCTTTATTGAGGTACAAGAGAAAAATAAAATGGTAAGGTGTATATCATATCATTTGATATATTTTGATATATGTGTATTTTTAACAATGCATATGAAAGCACTCTGTCCATTGGGTAATATATCCATCACCTCACACAATCAATTACCTTTGAAATGTAGGCGTAAGAACATTAAAGTTCTACTCTCTTAGCAAATTTAAATTATATACTGAAGTCATCGCATGTACTATGAGCCTCAGAGCTTATTCACTTTCAAGATGGGAGTTTATACACTTCCACCAACCTCTTTCTACTCATCCCCCTTCTCTAGTCTCTTGCACCGTGTATTTCTATTACCAGTTTGCCTGATTTCTCTTATCTTATGACTTCTAAGTTGATCCATGTTGTCACAATTCATTTACTCCATTTTGAAGTCTGAAGAAGATTCTTTTGCATGTGAAAAATGCAATATATTGTGGTTTAGATTTGCATTGTGTTGTCCTGAGAACTTTATATTGTTGCCCTTTTGTGTGTATTCTTAGGGAATGAATGAGATGTCTATGTAGGCCCTGAGCCTGTTTTAAAGATAGATTGTTGTTTTCTTTGTTTGGCATTGTTTCAGTTCCTTGTGTAGTTTGGTATTAGACCCTTGTTAACTGTGTGTTAATGATTTGGCCCAAACATTACTTTCTATTTTAAAATACATTGTATGGAGGAAAAAGAGTCCACGGGCCTTGAAGAGTTAACCCTTCTTCTGTCAGAGAATTTTGAGATGTCTGTCAGCAGACATGTGGCAAGGTGTTAAGCACAAACAACAGAGTAAAAGTCTTTCAAGGTATAACGCTCAGTTATGAATACATACAATAGGGGCCCGAGAGATAGTTAAATGCTTTGTTTGTTTATTTGTTTTAGTTTGAGGGCCACATCTGGTGGGTTTCTAGGCTTACTTCTGATTCTACTCAGGAATCACTCCTAGTGGGCTCAGGGGACTATAAAGGATTCTAGAGAGCCAACCTGGGTCTACTGCATGCAGGATAAGTGCCCTTCCCACTGTACTATCTGGAGAGATAGTTGAATGGGAGAAACACAGGCTTTGCATTCCAGAGGCCCAGGTTTAATCCCAAGTACCCAATGGTTCCCCAAGCATCACACCCAAACACCCTCCCAAGTACCATCCTAGAAATCTCTAAATACTTTTGATTTCGTTATAGCCCCTGATTAAGTAAGTAAGTAAGTAAAGGCCCTCCTGTTGATCATTGATTTGCTGGAGCAGGCCCAGTAACGTCTCCATTGGAGACTTTGTTGTTACTGTGTCTGGCATATCGAATACATCACGGGGAGCTTGCCGGGCTCCGCCGTGTGGGCGAGCCCCTGATTAAAACAAAATAATATAAAAAAACAAGAAAAATGTATCTTTATATTTGGAAACTTATACTTCTTCAGAATCACAATGATAATTACCTTTGGGAGGGATAAGAGGGGTTTGATTATTTCATTTTCTAATATTGTATGCTAAATTTGATAAAGGCAGCTGCAGACAAAAAAAATGTATCCAGATTCGCTAAAGAATTGGCCTTCAGTACTCTCAGAAGCTGACTTAAATTCCTAGGCACATATTTCACATTTGCCATAGCAAGGGGAACTTTTGGGTTTTCAATGATCACAGTATTGTCTGTGCTGCCTGAAAAAGTGCAAGTAGGTAAGTTATAAGTTATCCTTTCCTATACAATCAGAATTATGCTGCCTTTTAAGCTTCCAGCAATTTTTATGGCACATTTTCTGTCAAGTCTATGTTGGTAGTTATTGCCATCAACTTTTAATCTCCACGTCACTGCAGACACATTATGAGGGTGAAAACTGACATAAGGGGAAAAAGGGGCTTCTGCCGTGAACGGCACATGGAGGGCAGTTTGCTTGCTCTATGTGTGGAATGGACATCAAGAGATTTCAGAAGCAGAATTTTTTTGGCAGTAGGGCAGCTAGTGATTGTTGGGTTTAGTGCTCCCCACCCTCCACCCCCCAAAAAAAAGATTAACGTAAGAATGGAAATTCTGCATGAACTGAAACCAAACTGTCCACCAGTTATTTTGTTTTTTATAACAAAATTGCCATGTGCTCAGTTATTTATGCAGCAATGAAAAATGCACCGAAGAACTTACAACAAATCTAGTGGACACATGGAGAAAATGCCAGAAAGTAAGGGATCCAGAGGGTGACTTTGGTGTCTTGTATAAGTTCTCCCTGAGCTAGCTTAGCAGTAGGGATGGACCTCGGGAAGTGCCTGTGTGACTCCCGAAAGGAGAGAAGTGAGATACAGGCTCCTGCCAGAACCCAGAAGCAGAAGCAAGAAATGTGGAGGGAAGGTTCAGAGAGAATTTAGAGACTCCAGTAGGTTCATCATTTTCATCTCTCTTTTGGTGTGTGTGTGTGTGTGTGTGTGTGTGTGTGTGTGTGTGTGTGTGTGTTTCAGACTGAATTCGGGAAGTCCCAATGTAAAAAGTTAAAATGAAACTTCAGGCCATGCAACTTTATCAATGGTTCTGTCTAGCAGGAGGAAGTGGTCATCCTACCTTCTGTATTTTCTCCTTAGTATTTTTTTCTAGTGTATTTGGACTGCTTGCCCAGGGCTCAGTGCCTGGTGAAGGGAACCTGAGATCAGAAACAATTCTCCCATCAACTGAGGACAGGAAATGGGTGTCCTGCTGTGGAAATAGACCTGATTCTCCTGGTTCTTCCAAGTGTGCTTAGAGAGTGTCCTGGGAATCAGGATTTCTGCTTTCATTTTTTTCAGCTCTGCCCCACACGTTTCAGTGGGCATATGATTATGATGTTCCTAGGGGGAATCGTCACATTTAATAGATACACCCGTTTCATTTATAAATGAAAGGAAACAAGAGATGAAGGCCAGGTGTAGTGAGTGAGAGCATCAGATTAAAAGCTATCCTGAAGTTCCAATTTAAAAGAAAAACCAAGCAGAACACTATATTGAAGTACCCAGGAGCCCCGGGATTTATCCAATGCTCTGGTCTCCAGATCTTCTGCATATTGGATGCCCTGTAAGATTATGGAATGCTTGCCTTTACCTACCCAGTACACTGGCTCAGAGTCTTTGGAGATGGACAAATGTTCTGTTTTATAAGCACCCCAGGTAATTTTTAATCAGAGAAATTTGGAAGATATTATTCTAACTCAAATACCTCATTTATAGATATGTAAAAGGAAGCTGAGGAGGAAATAATTTGACCAAAGAAACTTGGACAATGGAACAGAATCCAAACCAGAAGTTATAAATGTAGTCCCAATGCCCAGTTATGTACTTGACCTCTTTGTGTGGTCCTTAGTACCTGGCAAAATCTCTATTCCAATAACAGCCCCAGAATCTCCAATGTGTCTCTACATTCATATTGAAGGATAAGCAATCGTGAGCTCAGTTGAAATGTACATGATTTCAAGGATAATTATTGGCTATATCCTGACAAAAGGAACATGAGCAGATTCTATTTTGACTTGGGAACTGGAAACTTATACTACCAAGCCCTGCTATTATCTCTCACCTCTCTGAAAGAACTTCTGAGACCAAACAAGTTATCTAGCCATCTTTATTTATCCCCTTTACACCTCCATGTATGCAGTTGGAATTTTAGTATAGATACTTAAATTGTGTTTGGGGCTGAGGACAATGCAATAGGTCAAGTATAGTCAGGGTGATTTGACTTAGTGTGGGGACAAGTCCCAGCTGTTCATGGAACTAGGTCATTGTCTTCCTGGTAGCAATCAACTGTTTAGTTGCCCCTGGGGCTTTGGGAGTGTCATTGTGTTAGGAATAGAAGTCTTCTAGCCTGCTCTACTGGGTTATATAGTGAGGGGGTGGAAGGAGGGTGCGGTCCTGGCACTTTGTCACTCTTGTCTGTCTTCGTCAGCAGTCTAGGAGATTTGACCCAAGAGATAGAACAAGACATAAAATGGAGTTGGCCTGTTGGATCTCCTTAGTTTCTGAATGCATTGGTTATGTTCTCAGCATTGTTAGTGGAACAGACAAGAAATTGGGTTTACTGGTATGTCCTAAGCGTCACAGAACAAAGCTGGTCTCCAACCACTCAGTTCCCATCAGTCCCCATGCCTTCAAATGCCCCTGACTTCAAGGATAATACATAGAGCAGAGTGGTTCATCTTGGAGTAGCATAAATGGATTGCTCTTATCCAGCTTCTGAAACTTTCCTTACTGATATCCAGCTGGAGTGATAGCACAGTGAGTAGACCGTTTGCCTTGCATGTGGCTCACCAGGTCGACCAGAGTTTGATTCCTCCACCTCTCTCGGAGAGCCCGGCAAGCTACCGAGAGTATCTCGCCCACACTGCAAAGCCTGGCAAGTACCCATGATGTATTTGATATGCCAAACACAGTAACAACAAGTCTCACAATAGAGACGTTACTGGGCCTATTTGAGCAAATTAATGAACAACTGGAGGACAGTGCTATACAGAGCTATCCAGCTGGAAGATTCTTGATCTGCTCTATACTCCCTTTGTGTGAGCTGATGGGGTCTTGAGCATGGTCACTGTGGCAAGTATAAGACCTCTTAAGAGATCTAAGCACAGGCTGAAGGGAGTCTTAGCCTTTTATCTGGAAAGTCCTGGCCTGGAATAAAACAGATCAATAAGTCCTTAAAAATTTATGTTTTTACTTCAAACTGTACTACAAAGCAGTAATAATTAAAACAGCATGGTACTGGAACAAAGGCAGAACTGCAGACCAATGGAACAGGGTTGAATACACTGACATCTCCCCTCAATCATATGCTCATCTAATCTTTGATAAAGGTGCAAGTAATGTGAAGTGGAGTAACGAAAGCCTCCTTAATAAATTGTGTTGGCATCACTGGACGGCTACATGCAAAAAAATAGGCTCAGAACTCTGCCTAACACCATGTACAAGAGTAAGATCAAAATGGATTAAAGACCTCAACATCAGACCAGAAACCATAAGGTACATTGAAGATAAAGTTGGCAAAACCCTCCATGACATTGAAGCTAATGGTATCTTCAAAGATGCCACGCCACTGGCCGAGCAAGTGAAAACAGACATAGATAAATGGGACTATCTTAAACTAAGAAGCTTCTGCACCTCCAAAGAAACAGTGACCAAAATACAAAGACAGTCTACAGAATGGGAAAGGATATTCACCGAATACACATCTGACAAGGGGTTGATATCCAGGATATACAAAATACTGGTTAAACTCCACAAGAAGAAAACATCCAACCCCATCCAAAAATGGGGCAATGAAATGAACAGAAACTTTCTCAAAGAAGAAATCCGAATGGCAAAAAAGCACATGAGAAAATGCTCTACATCATTAATCATCAGGGAGATGCAGATCAAAACCACAATGAGATACCATCTCACACCTCAGAGACTGGCCCACATTCAAAAGAACAAAAGCAACCGATGCTGGCGTGGATGTGGCGAGAAAGGGACACTCCTTCACTGTTGGTGGGAATGTCCACTGGTTCAGCCCTTCTGGAAAACAGTATGGATGATTCTCAAAAAATTAGAAATTGAGCTCCCATTTGACCCAGCAATACCATTCCTGGGAATATATCCCAGAGAGGCAAAAATGTATAGTCGAAGTGACATCTGCACTTGTTTGTTCATTGCAGCACTCTTTACAATAGCCAGAAACTGGAAGAAACCTGAATGCCCAAGAATAGATGACTGGTTAAAGAAACTTTGGTACATCTACACAATGGAGTACTATGTAGCTGTTAGAAAAGATGAAGTCATGAAATTTACATACAAGTGGTACAACATGGAAAGTATCATGCTAAGCGAAATGAGTCAGAAAGAGAGGGATAGACATAAAAAGATTGCATTCATCTGGGGGCTATAAAGTAACAAAGTATGAGATTAATACCCAAGAATAGCTGAGATCAGCACCAGAAGGATTACTCCATAGCTTAGAGACCAGCCGGGCATTCTAGGGGAAAGGGCAGCTCAGATAGAGAAGGGAGCACCAAATAAAGGATGTTTGGAGGATCCTCCCAGGAGGGGAGATGCATGTCGAAAGTAGACTATGGACTGAACATGTTTGCCACTCAATGCCTCTTTTGCAGACCACAACACCCAAAAGGAGAGAGAGAACACAGGGGATTGCCCTGCCACAGAGACAGGGGGGATGGGGGGATGGGGGTGGGAGGGATATTATCCATGGTGGTGGAAAATGGGCACTGGTGGAGGGATGGGTATCTGATCATTGTATAATTGAAACCAAAGCACAAAAAAATTGTAAATCTACAACTTAAAAAAATAATAAAATAAAATAAAGGGAAAAAATTTATGTTTTTATTGAGAAAAATCCATCTTACACTGCATTAAAAGATATTCTATAATCCTATTGTGTGCACAAGAACTGGAAACATTAGTGGATAGTCTACATTACATAGTCCCTCTCTTCCACACCAGTTCAGCAACTCATAAGCACTGGGAAGAAGGGTCTGTAATGTGACATTCCTAAGACTTCACATTCAAAATAATCCAAAGATATTTTTAAAAGATGTTAAATTGGGACAGAGTAGTGAATCTGAACAGTTTTGTAATATTGGGCCAAGGATATGGCTCAGTTGTAAAGTGTGTACACTGCTGCATGAGATCTAGGTTCACGCTCAGACAGTTAAAAATACATTTATTATGTGAGATAGTACAGGGGTTAAATTGCTCAACATAAGTGTAGCCATCCCTAGTTTAATCCTCAGTACCACATGCAGTCCTCCAAGCACCTCCAGGAATGATCCCTCGGCACAGAGCCAGGAATAATCCCTGAGCACTGCCAGGCATGGCCACACCACCACAACCAAAAAGAAACTACAAACTAAATCATCTGACTTAATACGATGCATTAGATACATAATATTCTAAGCCAATTATGTTTTAAGATCTTTGTCAAAAATAAAAATAGGACTTTACAATAAAAGCACAAGACTATTCAACAGTGGTCAAAAGGTAGGA